AAAACATGTATTCAAAAAACCGAAAAATTAAGAACGTGTATAAAAACACCAAATTTTCCCCACCTTAAATTTGGGGTGGGAAATTTTGGGAGTTGAAGTCCACATGTCATAGATTTGCCAAGTTTGAGAAACACTGATTTAGACCAGTAATACAAAAACAGCAATTCAGGGACCATGTGTAGTCTGGCAAGCTTCTAGGGCGCCCCAGGACATTCCTAGACCCTGCACCATTTGGTGAGGCCATCTAACAATGATTGAATCATCTCCTGCTATTTTTTTCTACGAAGCCAAACAAAGAAGCATGAATGTGGGAGAGGAGGGAGGGCTCAGCAAAAATGAATTATTTCTGTCATTTTGTGGGGGAAATAAACTTAAAAAAGAAAAGGATATTTTTAAAAGCCCTTTCCACCTCGGTTCTCAGCTCCACCACCTTTTCAAGGGCAGACCTTGACTTGCTGAACAAAAGATAAAGTCCTAACTATGACTTGCCCGGAAAACTCTTTCATGTGTTTGTTTCTTGAGTGACTGTCCACGTGCTCAGTTGGCAAATACACTGCAGAAAAGCTACTGAGTCTAGAACAGGAGTGCAAAGGTTTAACAGCAGGAGAGATAGATGGCGTTAGAAAAGATAATTGCATTCAGCTTGCAATAGCTGCTGTTTGTTTTCAGGCCAACGTCCTGCCTTAAACATTTATAAGGACACGGACAAGCTCCAACATTCCTCTTCTCTTTATTCCTGTGCGTTTGATGTAAGTTACTAAAAAGGAAAACATGACATCATCCTCTTCTCTGCCCATCGGCTCCTTGAGAGAAGCAGAGACAGGGGCACCCTTCCTTCCCATGTTCTCCTTCATGCTTTGCCTGTTCAAAATCTCCTTCAAGTCAAGTGCGATTCTGGTGACATCATGGACATGGCTAGGTGGCTTTCTGGGCAGGAATACAGAACGGGTTGGCCACGGCCTTCTCTCAGGAAGTGTTTTGACTTCTAGCTTGCAGCCTTAAGAGTCCTTGAAAGGCTTTCATTCAAGTTCTAACCTGGTCCTCCAACCTTCCTTAGTTTTTAGGGATCAACCAAGCTCAACTAGTTGGGCATTCACTAGCCACTGGATAGCCCCGTTATCCGAGAAAGGGATCTAGTCAATTTCATAATTCTTTCATCCGTTTCACCATGCCCAGAGTTAAAATCACCAGGCTTGGTGTTCCCAGGTGATGTTTTGGTGTGCTTTCTCCCAGTAGCTTCCTAACAGTAGGACCGATGCTTCCATTCGGTAGAAGCAAGCTGGCTGGGGAATCCTGGGAGCTGAAGTCCACACATCTTAAGTTGCGAAGGTTGAGAAGCACTGTTCTAAAGCCTTCATATGACACTCAGAAGTAGGCACACTATATGGATCTTTATAAAGTGATAGTTAGGAACTTGAGAGCCTGGTTAAGGCACCAGGCTAGAAACCAGGAGACTCTGAGTTCTAGTCTCGCCTTTGGCACAAAGCCAGCTGGGTGACCCTGAGCCAGTCACCCTCTCTCAGCCCTAGGAAGGAGGCAATGGCAAACCACTTCCAAAATCTTGCCAAGAAAACTGCAGGGATTTGTCCAGGCAGTTGCCAGGAGTCAACAGCGACTCAAAAGCACACACACACAAAAGCTAAGAACTTAGTCTCTGGTTTCCAAAAGCTGAGGCTATCAGGAAAATAAGGAGTCCTGCTGGATCACACTAAGGCACCTACTAATTTAGAGGCTGGTTTCTCCCTGTGGCAACCGGATGCCTCTCGGGTGCAAACAGGAGGCAGGGATCTACCCATTTCCCCCTCTTGGGGGTGAAAATACGGAGGAAAGATGACCTCAGCTCAGAGATAGCATTGAACCTTCAAGAGAACCAGCCTTTCATAGACCTGTCCTCCACGAACTCAGCCCATTGCCTCTGAAAGCCATCCAAGTTAATGGCCATCACCAGGATTTGCAGTAATGAATTTTTACAGATTCGCGGCATGGAAATTGTGATGTGATACAAGTATCATCTTCTATGTTTGCCTTCCTCGGGATGATGCTGTCCAAATTTGGCTCTGCTGGCTGGCTGAGAATGGGAGTAATAGTCCAACACATCTGGCAGGAACCAGGTTGAGGATGACAGCTGTGCAGGATGCATCTGTGGGATGGAGCTGCATTCAAGCAGCCCCATTAGCCATGTAGAAGATATCAGTTATAAATGAGATTTTCCTTGGTCCCTTTCATGAAAGGCCAAGAAACGTTTGCCTGGTTGACGGGGAGCCTTGGCCTGCATTAGCTACACTTCGTGCAATGCTTGGCATTTTCTCTCAGTCCAAAGATCCCCCCCCCCAACTTCTTCCCTCCCTCCTCCCCCCCAACCCTCCAGTGACAGCAAACATTTCTCCTTTTATGGCTGGGTTAGCAACAGCAGATCATACATTTTTGAGTGAGGGTGCTAAGAGCCCTGTTTCTGGAAACATCCCAAGCTGGGAAGACATTTTGGGAAGTGCCCATGGGAAACCAGAGTTTCTGAAGGTGCTTTCCCAGGTCAAGAGAGGCCCAGCTTGGCCACTTAGTGGCTAAACCTCTGGCTTGTAGATCAGAGCTATCCTCATTCAACACCTGCTCCTAAGAACAGCCCCAAATTTAGCAGAGAAGACATTTTCTTCCATCACTGTAAAATAATAATCCCATCTTTTCTGAAGTTATTGTTAAGATAATAACATCCTTATTTCCATTTCATCAACTTTAACCTGTGGCTGCGTTCACACAACTCTCTGAACCAGGCCAGTGAACAATCTAGCTGTTGCAGTTGCCCAATATCTGAAACCTGGTTAGTTTTCACTTGGCTTGGTTTTCTTCTTTTCTGCAGCTGAGTGGTGGTGTGAACTCAGGCTGTTTCTTAGCTTAGGGTTCAACATCTTGGCTAAACCAAGATGAATCAAGAAATTGGTTCCTCCAGAAACTACATTGAGCAGGTGGTGCAAAGGCAAGTCAGTGAGTCTGGGGAATGAGAAGGATGGAAGCTGGAACTCCAGGCTCAAGGGTGACATGCCAGTCCTGTTCAGCATATCTGTGTGGCTCAGAGCACTCAGAAGCCCCGGGCACTTGGGAATACACATAGCTCAAATTCCTCTCCATTCCAAAGTTTCTCCTCTTTGCCCCCAGCCATAAACAGACACACAAGCCCTACTTGGAAGAACACCCCACCCCAGTCATTTAAGGCAGCAATCGGCCCCTTTGCCTTCATTCCTTTTATAGGCTTTCCAAGCTCATTTCAGAGGGGGGAGGGAGTGGAAACAAGGGTGGGGCGAGGGATGAGGGAGACAGGAGAACGAAAAGAATGGAAAAAGAGGCGGGTAGATGTGTCTTGCCTTCATTTTGTCCTTCTTCATATATTGGGACTACAATACCCGGAATTCCCACCCATAAGAGTCAGCATGAAATTCACAGAGCACAGCTTCCAGATCTGTTCTGTAGAGGTCAGAAATTTTGCAGCACCTGAAGCTGATGGGCATTGCCCTCCTTTTGGTGGGGCTGCACCTTCAAGCACGCAGCACTTTCCAGATGTATTGGGTTACAGGTCCCATTATCCTTGAGCCAGCATAGTCACTGAGTGGGAGTTGTAGTCCAATGCCTCTGGAATGTGTCCAGATTAGGGGAGGCAGCTCTGGAATCCAAGTTGACCCACTGACCACAGTAGGCCCAAGGTTACAATCTGGTTTTCCTGAACAAAGGTTGGGTTGAGAAGAGTCCTGGTAGGACAAACAGGGTTTGACCCTTCTCCTGAGCCCCCTTTCTTCACTGGGAGATGGGAAGCCGCCATTTTAAATTTCCCAGAGTACCCAGCATCACATAACTCTGGGGCATGATGGGAAGTTAAGCATGGGGACAATCAAATGGTGACTTTCTAGCCATTTTGCCATTTCCTCTGATCAGCCAGTAAACTGGGGGACCTCAACTATCTCCAGGGGGTTTGAACTTTCAGCCACAAGGAATCCCTTTCCATGTTTTCCAAGGAAATACTACAGAAGTTCTTCTTGCATGTTGCTGGATTTGGGCTCTTCTCCTGGCTCCTAGGGGACTACCTTTACGTAGGCTGCTCCATGTACCCCAGAAGATGGCCCCAAACCATTGTTGGGCAGAAGATGAACAACAGGACGCTAAGCTATCATTCAAAACCAGGTGCTCCTTTTTCTGTCCTCAGAGACTACCCTTTGAGGACTCCTTGCAAGCCTCTGAAGCACACAGGTCTAACCGACATTCCAAGTCCGGAGAGAGAGAGAGGGCAGCTCTCCCCACAGTCTGGTGCCCTCCAGATAAACTGGGGCTGCAGATTCCAGAAGTCCCAGTCCTGGCTTGCAGGGGGTGGCAGCCGGGACAGAAGTCTCCCAGAGCAAAACTGAGAGAGGAAACACTGAGATCCCAAAACCCGAGACTTACCAGAGGTTGCAATTATCCCGGTGAGTTGCTCCTGTGGGGAACTTGACCCCATTGCGAATGCAGGCTGGGAAAAAAAGATGCCGGAAGAAAGGGGGTTAGAGACTTGAAAGCATACCGATCTGTACATATTGCAAAATGGCTCAGCATTTAGACTAAATTTTCGAAGGGCCTATTCACTGTTAGGGTGGCCGCAAAGACCTTGTTTTGTTATTAGCCATGCACATGGGCATGTGCAAAGGGGGAAGGCCAGCGGCATCACATGCGTCATGATGCCATTGCACAACGGCATCAATTATGTCGTTTGCATCAGCTGCAATGCAGATTACCCAATGTGGATGACTTGTGCAATGACGTCACGGTGCGGGTGAGGTCACCGCAGCTTGTCCTGAATGCCTATGATACGATAGCTTGCTGAAAACGTGGCTTATGGTATGATATTTCAGCCAGGGGAACTAGAGGTTGGAGACGTTCCCCTTTTGGCAGGCGGTCTCTCCTCTCCTGCATACGGAACGCAATACTCATTAGAACGGCATTCCCCCACGTGGCAGCCTCCAGACCTCTTTGAACGGTCGCTCCCAGGACTCCCACCCGCTGGCCCTGGAATTTCCAGTGGTTGCAGTCCAACACTTCTGGAGGGAGCCAGGTTGGGAAAGCCTGCAAAAGAGATGAGAGGTAAGATGAAGCAGCACCGAAACCCTTAGAACTGCAACCCTGCAGCTTGAGGTTTTAAGAGAGGGAAGGAGAGAGGGAAGGCAGAAGACAGAAGTGAGAAGTGAGAAGAGGGAGGAGAGAAGACGGGAGAGGGAAGAGGGAAAAAGGAAGAGAGAAGAGGAAAGAAAGACAAGAGAAGAAAGAAGAAAGAAGAGGGAAGAGGGAAGAGAAGAGGGAAGAAGGAAGAGAGAAGAGAGATGAGAGAAGAAAGAAGAAAGAAGAGAGAAGAGGGGAGAGGGAAGAGGGAAGAGGGAAGAGAGAAGAGGACAGAGGGAAGAGGGGAAGTGAACACTATTGGGAAGAAAACTACGGCTGCCAAGGTTGGGCCCCAGTTGCTCTTTTGAGGAGTGCAAAAGTAAAGGTGCATTTACTTTTACTGTACTATGCTTTGCTTGTGCATTTTTCAATAAATCAAATCATACAACCCAGCAACATCATCCTTGGAAATATTTGTTGTTCTATTTGCAGGCAGTAAAGGACTGTTATGTTTTGACACGTGCAAGAGAAAACAATTGCCTCACAAATGTGTGCACTGGAGTGGTTCTCTCCCACTCCCTTTTTCATCTGAACACTTATGTAGAGTTTCAGGCCTCCACTCCCTTATAAATATACATGGATCAGATAAATGCCTGGCTTTTAGACTCTAAAACGGTTGTTGAAACTTGTAAAAGTTAAATGGTATTTAACCCCCACAATTATTCACCGAGATTGGGTGGAAGTGGATCCAAAGAGGTCAAAGTCTGATTTTACCCAAGGCTTCAGCCCAGAACAGATTTTGAAGGCTAAACTTCAGGTCTGAAAAACTCAGAGGGCTGTGTTGAGACTTAGGCTCTGTGCAACAGAAGATCCTTCAGTCAGAGAATACCCGAGTCCAATTTAATTTAAAAATTCCCTGGGAATTTTAACAACTGGGAAAGATTTTTCTACACTCTCAGAAGAGGCAGTGGTAGACTAGACAGGCATTTCCTTACCTAATAACATATTATTATTGTTGGTCGCACAGTCAGCCAGATGTTTAGACTGGATCTGGCATTTTTATCCA